ACTCCCAGAAGCAACGCAACTGGTAACTACAGGGCGCCTTAATCCGCTTGACCATCACGGCCGTCAAAGGAAGTGATAGCCGAGGCTATTTGAGCCACTTCCCCGACGGCAACTCGGATGGTAATCTTGGGCATAGCATTTCACCAAATCACCTCATTCTTTGGGGCACACGTGAGGAACACAAATGCGAACAAGCCTGAATGGTCCCCAGGACTATATGCGAATGAAAACTCACACCCCAGAAGTGACTCGAACCCATACTCCCAGAAGCAACACAACTGGTAACTACAGGGCGCCTTAATCCGCTTGACCATCACGGCCGTCAAAGGAAGTGATAGCCGAGGCTATTTGAGCCACTTCCCCGACGGCAACTCGGATGGTAATCTTGGGCATAGCATTTCACCAAATCACCTCATTCTTTGGGGCACACGTGAGGAACACAAATGCGAACAAGCCTGAATGGTCCCCAGGACTATATGCGAATGAAAACTCACACCCCAGAAGTGACTCGAACCCATACTCCCAGAAGCAACACAACTGGTAACTACAGGGCGCCTTAATCCGCTTGACCATCACGGCCGTCAAAGGAAGTGATAGCCGAGGCTATTTGAGCCACTTCCCCGACGGCAACTCGGATGGTAATCTTGGGCATAGCATTTCACCAAATCACCTCATTCTTTGGGGCACACGTGAGGAACACAAATGCGAACAAGCCTGAATGGTCCCCAGGACTATATGCGAATGAAAACTCACACCCCAGAAGTGACTCGAACCCATACTCCCAGAAGCAACACAACTGGTAACTACAGGGCGCCTTAATCCGCTTGACCATCACGGCCGTCAAAGGAAGTGATAGCCGAGGCTATTTGAGCCACTTCCCCGACGGCAACTCGGATGGTAATCTTGGGCATAGCATTTCACCAAATCACCTCATTCTTTGGGGCACACGTGAGGAACACAAATGCGAACAAGCCTGAATGGTCCCCAGGACTATATGCGAATGAAAACTCACACCCCAGAAGTGACTCGAACCCATACTCCCAGAAGCAACACAACTGGTAACTACAGGGCGCCTTAATCCGCTTGACCATCACGGCCGTCAAAGGAAGTGATAGCCGAGGCTATTTGAGCCACTTCCCCGACGGCAACTCGGATGGTAATCTTGGGCATAGCATTTCACCAAATCACCTCATTCTTTGGGGCACACGTGAGGAACACAAATGCGAACAAGCCTGAATGGTCAGGCTTGACAAGCCTCACGTGTGCCCCAAAGAATGAGGTGATTTGGTGAAATGCTATGCCCAAGATTACCATCCGAGTTGCCGTCGGGGAAGTGGCTCAAATAGCCTCGGCTATCACTTCCTTTGACGGCCGTGATGGTCAAGCGGATTAAGGCGCCCTGTAGTTACCAGTTGTGTTGCTTCTGGGAGTATGGGTTCGAGTCACTTCTGGGGTGTGAGTTTTCATTCGCATATAGTCCTGGGGACCATTCAGGCTTGTTCGCATTTGTGTTCCTCACGTGTGCCCCAAAGAATGAGGTGATTTGGTGAAATGCTATGCCCAAGATTACCATCCGAGTTGCCGTCGGGGAAGTGGCTCAAATAGCCTCGGCTATCACTTCCTTTGACGGCCGTGATGGTCAAGCGGATTAAGGCGCCCTGTAGTTACCAGTTGTGTTGCTTCTGGGAGTATGGGTTCGAGTCACTTCTGGGGTGTGAGTTTTCATTCGCATATAGTCCTGGGGACCATTCAGGCTTGTTCGCATTTGTGTTCCTCACGTGTGCCCCAAAGAATGAGGTGATTTGGTGAAATGCTATGCCCAAGATTACCATCCGAGTTGCCGTCGGGGAAGTGGCTCAAATAGCCTCGGCTATCACTTCCTTTGACGGCCGTGATGGTCAAGCGGATTAAGGCGCCCTGTAGTTACCAGTTGTGTTGCTTCTGGGAGTATGGGTTCGAGTCACTTCTGGGGTGTGAGTTTTCATTCGCATATAGTCCTGGGGACCATTCAGGCTTGTTCGCATTTGTGTTCCTCACGTGTGCCCCAAAGAATGAGGTGATTTGGTGAAATGCTATGCCCAAGATTACCATCCGAGTTGCCGTCGGGGAAGTGGCTCAAATAGCCTCGGCTATCACTTCCTTTGACGGCCGTGATGGTCAAGCGGATTAAGGCGCCCTGTAGTTACCAGTTGTGTTGCTTCTGGGAGTATGGGTTCGAGTCACTTCTGGGGTGTGAGTTTTCATTCGCATATAGTCCTGGGGACCATTCAGGCTTGTTCGCATTTGTGTTCCTCACGTGTGCCCCAAAGAATGAGGTGATTTGGTGAAATGCTATGCCCAAGATTACCATCCGAGTTGCCGTCGGGGAAGTGGCTCAAATAGCCTCGGCTATCACTTCCTTTGACGGCCGTGATGGTCAAGCGGATTAAGGCGCCCTGTAGTTACCAGTTGTGTTGCTTCTGGGAGTATGGGTTCGAGTCACTTCTGGGGTGTGAGTTTTCATTCGCATATAGTCCTGGGGACCATTCAGGCTTGTTCGCATATATATATATATATAATATACATATATATATATATATATATATATATATATATATATATATATATATATATATATATATATATATATAATATATATATAATATATCTTTCTATGTGTCAGAAAGGCCTTCATGTGCAAGCCATAGATCACCAGGAATTTTAAATGACTCGACGAGGATTCGAATCTATGACGTCCAGGATCACCCCTAAACGTACACAGTACCGTGACCACCACACCATTGATCGTCTATATACTGCTAAGCGAACAGAAGCATTAGGCGAAATGAAACGTGCCCAACTATATCTGCCCGAGATTCGAACCCAGGATTCCCGATAGTGAGTCGAGAACGAACCCAACTATACTCCCAAGACCCGGAAGGGGGCACATCTTTTTGTTTAGTCTTGCTCCCTGTCCATACATCTCAACTCCACCATATCCCTGTCCTGTCTTGCTCCCTCTGTCACACGGTTCTCTATTATTCACTTTAGGTTACATTAGGATAGGTTGCGTTACGTTACGATAGGTTTGTTTACATAGCAGCGATGACGGAGAGGGTCTTAAACCAGTCTTAGATCTTTCACAGATCTTAGCTCCTTCTTACCCGTTCTTACGTGTGGGTGTCGGCTCAGCTGCCGGTATGATCCACTCTGCACCGCACGAGGTGTCGTGGTGCCCCCGGGGGCGTCTAGCAGGAGGAAATGCTTGTGGTTTCTCAATGTATACAACCAGCCCACGAGGCGTGGAGGGGCATTGTGTATCGTGGCAGATAACGGAGGCACGTTATCACTCGTCACGACCCCATGGTGTAAAGTCATTCATCATATATCAGTCCCCCATGTCCCAGTGGTCAAACACACGCGATATCTTTCAGTCCCCTTGTCCCAGTGGTCAAACACACGTTATCATTCAGTCCCCTTGTCCCAGTGGTCAAACACACGTTATCATTCAGTCCCCTTGTCCCAGTGGTCAAACACACGCGATATCTTTCAGTCCCCTTATCCCAGTGGTTAAACACGTCGTGTTATCATTCAGTCCCCTTGTCCCAGTGATCAAACACGCGTTATCATTCAGTCCCCTTGTCCCAGTGGTCAAACACACGTTATCATTCAGTCCCCTTGTCCCAGTGGTCAAACACACGCGTTATCATTCAGTCCCCTTGTCCCAGTGGTCAAACACACGTTATCATTCAGTCCCCTTGTCCCAGTGGTCAAACACACGCGATATCTTTCAGTCCCCTTGTCCCAGTGGTCAAACACACGTTATCATTCAGTTCCCTTGTCCCAGTGGTCAAACACACGCGATATCTTTCAGTCCCCTTGTCCCAGTGGTCAAACACACGTTATCATTCAGTCCCCTTGTCCCAGTGGTCAAACACACGCGATATCTTTCAGTCCCCTTGTCCCAGTGGTCAAACACACGCGTTATCATTGTCCCCTTGTCCCAGTGGTCAAACACGTCGTGTTATCATTCAGTCCCCTTGTCCCAGTGGTCAAACACGTCGTGTTATCATTCAGTCCCCTTGTCCCAGTGGTCAAACACACGTTATCATTCAGTCCCCTTGTCCCAGTGGTCAAACACGTGTTATCATTCAGTCCCCTTGTCCCAGTGGTCAAACACACGTTATCATTCAGCCCCCTTGTCCCAGTGGTCAAACACACGTTATCATTCAGCCCCCTTGTCCCAGTGGTCAAACAGGTGTTATCATTCAGTCACTGGTACAACACTGCTACATCACTACATCAGTGGTACAACATATGGGATATTATTATCCTATAACAGTGGTACAGCTCAATAAATCATTTTACCTGCACAGAAAACATCTTGTGTCGGGAGCTGGCTTATCAATGTACCCCGGCTCAACATTATTGCATCTGCTCAATTTTTTTTTTGCTGTTGCAAGCAGGAAGTTCAGTCCTGTGAAGAGCGCATGCTGGAGAATGTGTTAGGGACTTAAGCATGAATCTAGAACACACAGGGGTTCTAGATACAAGAGTGTAGTGTATCTTCTAGTGTAGTTTTTTGAATGATTTCGGTGGAGGGGTGTCGTTGTACAGACCCCAGGAAGGAGGCAGGAGGCCTGGTCGACGACCGGGCCGCGGGGACGCTAAGCCCCGAAAGCACCTCAAGGTAACCCCAGCGGGTTAAGAGCCCTCCTCCCCAGCAAGTGTACAGACCACATCAACTATCGAGACCTGGAGTAATAAGACTCTTTTTTTTATCTTTATTTAATAATATACAATATAAATCATAATATACATCAATTTTACAAGGAAATATTACATTACATATACAGTAGTATAATTCTCAATCAACAAGTGTTTCATATTATCACAGAGCATGAACTATAAGCCTCTAAATGTTAGACTTATTTTTTCTTAAATGATTTATAGTTTTAGAGATCATATTTTTATCAATATACAGGGGAAATTATTACATTTATATTTTATATAATTCTCAGTAAACAAATGTTCCATATCATCACTGAGCATGAGACTGACCGGCCTGATCATCACTGGGGCTGTGACTGCTGTCCTGGTCACTACTGGTGAACAGTCCTGGATTCCGGTGAGTGGTTCTGTAGTGATCACTACATATGATTTACCTTTTGCTCGTGTGTGGGTGGGGGTTGGAGTGCAGTGGGTACGGTCGTCCCGTGGCGTGTCTATGTGTGTGTGTTGGGTAGGATGGTTGTACATTCTTCCAATGTGTCTCTCTCTCTCTCTCTCTCTCTCTCTCTCTCTCTCTCTCTCTCTCTCTCTCTCTCTCTCTCTCTCTCTCTCTCTCTCTCTCTCTCTCTCTCTCTCTTTTGCTAGTGCACTCGTTCACTTACCACACTCGAGGTCTACTACAGCTGCTTGCGGCATCTGAGGTTCACGGGCTCACCATAGCCCGTGCTATATGGACACTTCGTCCTGAGTAGCTAAATCTTTAACAACAACAACATCTGAGGTTGCAAACAGGCTGCAGCTGGTAGGCGATTGCCATACAGGATGAACAACCCAGCGGGTTTTCTTCCTATTGGGGAGTGTTGTACATGCTGTTATGGCGGTATGACCACTATTGAGGGGAAACCTTAGCTAAGGTTTTGACAGTCTGGGCAGATAGGTGATTTGGCTGTCACTGAACCCACTTACAATTGGACAAAGGGCTGCAGGCAATGACCTGTTTCACTTTATTTTCCCATCTTGCTCTCAAAGCGGTGTAATTCTGCGCTTCGTGCCCGCTTGTCGTCAATCACCGCTGGCTCTGGGGGTCTCCAGGAGTTGTTACTCACGGTGTGGTGGTCAAGTGGTGTCTCTACCTACCACTTTATGCCTAGCAGTGACTGCGGGCAGAGTGGGGGTGAGGCTCTTGAATATTATTACATTTATGCCACAAAATGTAAGTTAGATTGACTTGATCTATCTTGATCACAATCGACTTGAGAATGGTCCAGGACGGACCGAAACGTCGTCGTCCCTTCACCTTCTAGTGTGTGGTCTGGTCAACATAAGTTAGATTTAGACTGGTGTACATCTGTAGAGAGTCGAGGTATTATTTTAGCGATTTGTGTAAGTCGTTATGATTAAAGTATCAAATTCTATGAATTCTAATTCTAAGTTATAGGAGTAACTTTATCTTATGGTCTAATCGGGTGACATCTCCCGTCACGCAGGGTGCAGTCGCACCTCCACAGATCTCCAGTATCAGCTATTGATACTGGTAATGGCTCAAAAGGGCCACCACTTACGGGTTATTCATGCCCGTGCCACCTTTTGGGTGGCTTAATCTTCATCAATCAATCATCAATCTTGTGGCCTAATAGCACAACACTGGACCAGGAATTTCTTTGTATATCTGTAATATACAAAGGTTCAGTCATCAACACTAAAACTGGCATTCAAGTCTGTGTTTATACCATATTTTTTGAAAAAAATGTTGTCTGTGCATCGGAGATTTTTTTTACTTGTGAACGCAGTTTCTTATCGTGTAAGACGGTAAGGTAATTATGCTAAGTAATTATGAAATTAATTATTAAAATAATTATGAAAACGCTAAGCCAGTATGACTAGTATATAGCATTTTGAAGGGATATGATGACAAGGATATGAGGACAAGGAGTTCGGATATGAGGACTAGGATATGAGGACAAGGAGTTAGGATATGAGGACAAGAAGTTCGGATATAAGGACAAGTATATGAAGACAAGGAGTTAGGATATGAGGACAAGGAGTTAGGATATGAGGACAAGGAGTTCGGATATGAGGACAAGGAAAATGAGGACAAGAAGCTGCGCTATGAGGACAAGGAAGGGAAGGGAAAGAAACTGTCGGGGAAAAGCACCAAGCCATTATGACTATATAGCACTCGGAAGGGATCAGGATAAGGATTTGGGATGGGACGGGGAAGGGAAGGAATGGTGCCCAACCACTTGTGGACCATTGGGTATCGAACGCCGACCTGCAACAAGCGACGCGCCTCCGTTGTAGCCATCATTCCAAGAGGCTGTTACCTTATAAGAAGAAAATTGGTTTAATGGCGAACAGTCTTTTTCTGGGGGAGACTGATCAATATAATTAGCTTCAGTTGGAGGTAATAGTCTCTGGGGAGTATATGAGGAGACTAATAAGCTCACCCGCGTGTATGATGACGTCTATTCTGCAGGAAGGAGGGGCACCTCTAGCTAACCTCTGCTCACGACGCTGTAAATCCGGATCACGACGCTGTGAATCCGGATCACGACGCTGTGAATCCGGATCACGACGCTGTGAATCCGGATCACGACGCTGTGAATCCGGATCACGACGCTGTGAATCCGGATCACGACGCTGTGAATCCGGATCACGACGCTGTGAATCCGGATCACGCCGCTGTGAATCCGGATCAAGACGCTTTAAATCCGGATCACGACGCTGTGAATCCGGATCACGACGCTGTGAATCCGGATCACGACGCTGTGAATCCGGATCACGACGCTGTGAATCCGGATCAGGACACGGTAAACCCGGATCACGACGCTGTAAACCCGGATCACGACGCTGTAAATCCGGATCACGACGCTTTGAATCCGGATCACAACGCTGTAAATCCGGATCACGACGCTGTGAATCCGGATTACGACGCTGTAAACCCGGATCAAGACGCTGTAAATCCGGATCACGACGCTGTGAATCCGGATCACGATGCTGTAAATCCGGATCAAGACGCTGTGAATCCGGATCACGACGCTGTGAATCCGGATCACGACGCTATAAACCCGGATCACGACACTGTAAACCCGAACAAATGGCATGATACGTCTCGAATTATATAGTTAATTTACTTAAAATATCTCCCTTAGTCTACTCGAAATGTGCTAGTGCAGACTAGTGAAGTTAGTTTACCTCCCATGCCGTTATAAGCCGTACTAGCAGATGGCAATATTAGGTAAACCAAGGTAACTGAATGTAAACAAACTATGCAGCCCGTTCTCTTCATTTGGCACTCTGTAAAAAAAGAAAAATTCCCGAACCAGAAACGTACGAACCCAAGCAACCAGCTTAACGCATCTAGACCAGTGCATAGAAAACGTCCATATTAAGCGGCTTTATTTTTGTTAATACGTGAAATTTGTAATAGATTGGTAGATTGTGTAAAAAAAACGACGTACTGTATTAGTTGAGAGGACTGTATGATGAACTAATAATGGAAATAAAATATGACACATCAGAGTGTCACGTGACACTGAGGGGACATACGAGGGACATACATACGTGACACTGTGGGGGTATCACAGTGTATGTCACGACATACATTGAGGGGGAAAGGCGGAGAGGGACAAGCTATAGCAACTGAGGAGACTGGAACAAGGGGAAAATAGAACGAGAGAAACTGGGAGATTTGAAATTGGGAAATCAAACGAGGGGAAATGGAATGAAAGGAAATAGAACGAGGGGACACAGTTTGAAAACGGAAACACAAATGACACATTGAGGCGGTGAGGAAGCAAAATCCCAAATTTATTTTCATTTTTCTTCATTTTCAAATTACGTCCAAATTCGGCCATACGGGCAAACGGCCAAAAGCGACTTTCTTTTTAAGAGGACAGGTTGTCCTCAGAGCCCATATATGCGGTAAGAGAAGGGGTAGAAGCAAGAGGCCATAATTCTCAATCGACTTCAGTATGGTCCAGGACGGACCGAAACGTTGTCGTCCCTTCACCTTCTAGTGTGTGGTCTGGTCAACAAGAGGCCATAGTTTTAAGAGTAGTTATGGTCAAGAACGGACAAATTTGGAAATTATAATTGCACTGGATACCTAAGAGGCAGGAGGAGGAGCCGGGGCCCAACAGCTGGACATCACCCTCTCTCCACGGAGACAATAGAGAAAGTAGAACAAGAAAACTTTATGGGAAGCTGGAAACGCAAATGAGTGAAAAAGGAATGTAAGGAACCACGCGGCGTTCCCTATACGGGTTTACCAACAAATTGGACACACTCAAAGAAGTAGCGGAAATCACCGCAGCTTTAAGGCAAGATTCAACACAGAATTTGAACGACAGAATAGTTAAATTATATCACAACTAGGCGGGGCATAAAGAGCTAAACCTCACTCCCTCCTGCGCAAAATAACTGCAACGCCCCCCCCCCCCACCAGACCCCCAACACTCCTCCCTGGCTCCCCCAAACCTTTCTGGGCGACTATAACAGTCATGAAGACTCTTCAACCCGAGTGTATAGCTGGACGGTCCCCAGCTGGATATTTATAATTACGAGGGAACTGTTGTCACGAAGAGACGGCTTACTGACAGCCAGCTTGAGTCCTGCTCAAGTATGTTTAATGAGACAAGAAAAAATATATCTCAAAGGGACAAGAAAAAATATATCTCAAAGGGATAGAGTAGTTTAGGCTATTTCTACCCGCCCTCGAGTCAGGTCTATGTTTTGTATGAGGTGATTGTGGTCTGAAAGAGCCTGAGAATGTGCTGGAGGTTGCACATGGAAGAAGCTGAGGCTGTGAACAATGCCCAAAGACTTCGTGGTATAATATACAAGAGTTTTTTACATTCTTGTAAAGCCACTATTACGCGTAGCGTTTCGGGCAAGGTCCTTAACCCTAATTTCCCCGGAATACGACCCCGCCGAATCGTTTAACAACCAGGTACCCATTCACTGCTGGGTGAACAGAGGCTACAGTTAAAGATTGGCGCCCGGTCAATCCTCCCCGGCCAGGATTCGAACCCAAGGCAAGGCGCTTGCGAAACGCCAGGCGAGTGTCTTACCACTGCGCCACGGAGACTGCTAAAGTCTCCGTGGGTATAAGGGTATATTAGTTGTTTACATTGTCTTCTCAATACTATACCCAACCACTTGGACTTTTATTATTATTATTATTTTCTACCACAAACGTGGCCACACATTTACAATGCTAACCAGCATATATACATTTTCTTCTGTCCTCCATAGACAGGGTTAGAGATCAGTTAAACATATAGTTCAGGGATTTATTGAACAAACCACTTGGACTGGACGGTAGAGCGTAAGTTGTTTAAAGTTTTCATATCTGACAGCAGTTATGATTTTTGTTTATCACTGATGAATGTCTTC